GACTTAAGCTATTGAATTAATTTTCTCTCATAATTATAACTTAATTTATATAAAATTATTTTTTGGATGGAGGCAATAAAATTGGATTAGTGAAATCAATTATGTTTAGAACAATTAAGTACCTTCAAATCGAATCATCATCAAATTATAAAAGTTCCAAAAAATAGATTCATTTCTGTTACCGGAATTTGAACCCGGAACTCCCTTGTGGGAGTTGAATATCCTTGGTTTGTTTGGCTACCGCAAATTGTTGTTAGTGGCCTGCATTATAATCAATATAAACTATTTTTAGAACCTAGTAAGACAGCCCATTATAAAATGAATTTTAGGAATAACAACAGTGTACGTTTTTCTTTTTAAAATTATTTAGTTGAAGGGTCCAACTACAATCGAATACCAAAATATTAATACTTTAGATTTTGAATTCTAAAACAGTTTTTTGAGAATTTGAATTCTAAAACAGTTTTGGTTATTTTTTTTTTTTTTGGCACCAAAACAGTTTTTAAACTTCCACAATTTTATAGATATTGAGAATTAAATGTAAAATCATTAGCAAAAAAATGGGCCTGTAAACTGGTTTTAATTTTAATTTGAATCTGTAAAATATAGTTCCTTCAGCCCAGTCCAACCTTTGCTAGGTGTGTGGTTGGGCATTGACATTTGAGTTTTAGTTCTCTCACAATTCTTTCTTGTTTTTTTGTCTATTTAGGACAATCCAAACACACTTCATATGAATCATACTATCTTCATTTTTTTTTTTTTTTTAAATCCCTCCAAATTATTTCATCCAAACGGAGCCTTAAGTTCAAGTTTATTTATTAGTAACAAATAAAAAAGGTGCCATTTCCTTCCATTCTGGTAGCCAATCTTGACAATTTGAGACCATGCTTGACCACAATTGTCCTTGATGGACATTTTTCATTCAACTTTCTTTGTCAAAACAAAGTTGTCATATTTGAATCAGTAGTTACTAGTCAATATATAATAATCACTGGATGGAGTCATGTGGGGCCTAGGGAGAAAAAACACACCCCTTAATTCTTTTATTTTTTATTTTTATTTTTATTTGAAAGTTAAATGAAACATTTTTATTTTTCATCTTGCATGTATAAAACTTTAACCAAAAAGATAAACTTTCTTTTATTTTTCGTCTTGTATGTATAAAACTTTACTAAAAAGATAAAATTTATGATATGGCATAGAGTTTTTGTTGAACTTTATCTATTTTTAAGTAAAAAAATTTACTATTATTATTATTATTATTTTTCCATCAAGAACTTTATCTATTGGAATGGTTGAAAAAACCCAATTGATCATTATAGCATCACTCAAATTTTAAATTTTAAACTACCACTGAACCTGTCTCTAATTTTTTATTTATTTTTTTATTTTTTTATATAGAATTTAAGATTCTGAAACATCATCCACACTTCCAATTTTTCAGCGTCCAATTTGATATTTATCCATCTCTTTCTTTAATAAAATATTAAAATCTCTAAATTACAAAATAATAATAATAAATAAACGTGGTTGATTGAGGACAAAACCATCTTCCTTGAACTCTGGAGGCTAATCTTGACAATGACAATGCTTGAGCCATTTCCCTTTTGTTGATATTTTACAAACGTGCTCAGTTGTGTGTGTGTGTGTATATATATATATATATATTGACAAAAGAAAGTTGCCATTTTTGAATGTAAGTGGTCAATGTATAAGCAAGCAACCTTCAAGTTCCATGAAAGAAGTAATTTCATTGTCCATCTCCATCAAAGAATAATCATTCAGCTCAACCCTAAAATCTAACTGGACAAACAAAACTCGAATAGTTAATTTGTTGCTCTATTTGCATATGAATTGTAAATGGTGTACATCCTTACACGACTACACGTCTCTCTCTCTCTCTCTCTCTCTATATATATATATATATATATTATATATATATATACTCACACACACGGTGCAGCTTGTTAGTTTGCAGTTTCTAAGGACGAACACACCCCATGACCCAAATTTACTCCATGGTAAATATATATAGTTTTTTTTGTTACAATTTCTTTTTTTAATTTTAAAATTTAATTTTATATACTATTTCGGTCCCCCTAACGAAAGTTTCTGCTCTGCCCCTGATTGTATCATGACTCTATACTTAATTTATTTAAAATAATTTAGTAATCCACCTGTTTTTCATAAAAGAGTAAACCAAAAAAACAAATAATAACTCAATATTGACTGTTGGAGTGTCAATCTTGCTCACTCCTTTTTTCTCGTATGAAATAATATATATTTCAATCGTTTCAAAATATTTATTTATCTTTTCTATCTTAGAATGTCTCAAAATACATGATTCATTCTAAAAATGAATATATTATTTCATATAATATTCTCAAACTATTATTTTAACATTAATTTGATTAAACAAGTGTACTAATTACGAAAAATACCTTTGTCTTTTAACAAAAATAAATTTGAATATTCACTCCTATTAATACAATAAAAAAATATGAATAATGCTCCTATGGTGAGAAGAGGCATGAGTTTTTTTTAAAAAAAAAGATTGCATTAAATAATTTATTCAACTTTTAACACATTTTAAAAATCTGTTTCACTCCAATATTTAAAAAAAAAAAAGACGCATGGGTCACGAGCTTGAGTTCTCTCTTAGGAGCATTACTAAAAAAAAATACTAAAAACCCCTAACGGAATAAGTTGATTCCCCAAGACAACCCAAAAATTTGGGATTGAGGGATTATATAATAATAATAATTAAAAATATTTAGTTTGTTACAACAACAAATTATGTATTGGTGCAGTTTTCCTAATTTTTTATAGCCCATGCCAATCTTTTCCCACAATTGAATAATAAAAATGTTTGTTGCATTATGAATTTATTTATGTTATATTCAGATGAGGACAGTGCCTTCAAGATAAGAACAAATGGCATGCAATGAACTCAACAGCCTTCTCTGTTTAAGCCTTTTGTTATGTGTTATTATATTTCCACAAGTCAAAATTCTATATATAACTAGAAATTCCAGCTATTCATTACTTGTGTATATTAATTAGATAAGCATGCAAATAAATAAATAAATAAATAATTTAGATAAGCCACAAGTCCATAAGGCATCCCTAAAGATACAGCAGGATTGCAATTTATTATTATATGTAAAATGTGCTATATATCACATATTACTTTATGGTATATATAATATTTTACATAATGTATATACATGTATTTATACACATATTTTATGAGGTAAATTTTGTCCTAATATATCTTATTTTAATTCTCTAATGAAAAAACAAAAAAGCTCATTCCTTAATTTTCTTTCCAACGTTTTGTGAGACTTTGTCATTTCAAATGAATGTTGATTCTTATAGTTTATGTGACTAAACAAACATTGGGAAAAGAGAATAAAAAATTAGTAGAGCTGTACAAAACGTAGCTTTGGGATGAGATGTCATCCCAATCCATCTCATGCTCTCGGCATGACAACATAAGATGGACAATTCAGTCACGATTTCCAAATTCAAGTTTTAAGTTTGAAATTAAGTTAAATTAATCCAAACTTCATACTATTGTCAATTCATAACGTTCAAAATAAGTCGGTTGTCAAAGACAAGAATCGGAGAGAACTGGAGTGATCAAATCCAATCCTTGTTTTTTCATAGTTTTATTCCGTAGGTAAAGTTCATTGATATTATTAATGGTAAATTTTGCTATTATTATGATGTAAATTTTTATTTGCTTGAATTATGTTACTACTAATTTACTGGTAAATTTTTCACTCTCGGCAGTTTACTGGTGAATTTTTCACTCTGTAGTTCCACTAGTCACGTTTTTCACAGCTTGGTTTGATGGTTGAAATTTGTATGTACCTATTTTTCGAGTCAAGTTGAGAGATAAAAATATCTAGAAAATACTACTAAAATAATATGAGAAATATAAAAGAGTGGATTAAAGAAGAGAAAACCAGTCCAATCTGAGGACTGAAACGATAGTTGAAAAGACGAAGTCTGTAGTATTGTCAGAGCCCAAAATTCTTGTGTTCTCCATTTTTTGCCTTTGTCACCTGTTTATAGTCCTACGTCATTCAGGTGGTATATGTTGGCCCTCCGGATAAGATGAGTCAGGGTCATGTCTATTTATGGATCATGATGCCTTAACCCCTCTTATTTCAGTTATGTTGCCAAGTGTACGTATTTCATTGAATGATCCAAATAGAGGGTAGCTATAAAGGTCTTTCTACTTACTCCAGCCAGCCTGTCTTTCGCTTTTCTCCTTACATTGAGTCCTGCTTTAGCAAAACTTAGCTTATTTTTCATTCCCCATTCTAAAATCCCTTTTGTATTCCCACTAGCCTCGAAGAGTCCTACCATTATTTTTCGTTGTTCATTTGCTTTGGTAGAATATTGTTTGGTCAGATCGAGGTTTAAGGCCCGTCGATTCGTCGATCTACAGTTTGTGGCTGGGCCGAATCGAGATTCAAGACCTGTCGATTAACGGTTTGTGGCTGGGCTGGATCGAGGTTCAGGACCCGTCGATCGACAGCTTATGGTTTGGTCGGATCGAGATTCAAGATCCATTAATCAACAGTTTGTGACTTAGTCGGATCGAAATTCAAGACCCATCAATCGACACTTTTACTAAGTTGAATTTTCAATATTGGCAAAGTGTTGGTCATTTTGTCTTTTTGTTAGTCTTGTTTGAAGTTGACACTGATACGGTGCCAACTTGATTTGACTTTTGATGACACGGCATAAATCACAGCCACCAAGTTCTTCTCAATGGTGAATTTTGTTACTTACAATATTATGAAATTTCAGTTGGACTTCGTTACCATTTGCTTACACATGAATTTAATGCTTATGATACCAAGATTGAAGCAGCTTTTACTTGTGAATGCAAAGTCAGATCATGTTATAATTTAGTTGGATTCATGTATAAATCACTTAGTTTAGAGGGAGCAACCACCAAAATACATTTTTGTGAGGAAGGCAGGAAAAAAAAAAAAAAAAAAAAAACAATACAAAAAAATTGTGCTTTTATCTGTTTTTCTTTCTCATATTATGTTTCAGAGTTCCAGGATTTAGTAAACGACAAGGGGTCTTCTAGGGACGATGAGTGAGGATAACAAGCTTTCCTGAGCTCATTGTACCTCCCAATGTCGAAATCGTGGGTCTTCATAAGCCGCTTCTGCTTCGCCCTAAATCGGCTTTGGAAGAACCCCTCGAAAGAAGGCTCTTTGGATGTCCTCAAGAAGAAAGCATAGCCGCCCATGAAGTACACAGAGGTGACATAAAAGCAAATGGGCTCCATGACATCCCATGAGAGTTCCCAAAATGTCAGCCTCATGAAGGCGACCGTCTGCACGACAAGGTAGCCCAACCCACACCAGAGTTCCCGGCGAACCAGGGCTTCTGCCTTCTCGTCGATGGCGGCCTTCTGCTTCGCCATTTCTTCGAGCTCCTCCATCATCCTTGGGTCACTCTGGTGGGCTACCGGTACGGACATTAGGCCTTGGATGGCTTTCACGACCTGTAAACAGAAATTGTAAAAAACATATGGGTAAAACATGGCTCCACTGTCAATGCCACACCATAGCCCTAAACAACCGGCCAGACTCAATCCATTAAATTACAAAAGCTTTTAATATTTTTGATAATGGAAATGGTTTTATTGGTTAAATGCTTTAATGGACTTGATCATGCTGATGGAGAGGAAATTATAAATCCTAGTAGGCTACTGTGTGCAATCCTAGTAGGCTACTGTGTGCAACAGTAAGATTGTTCCACCATGACCTTAATGCTCCGTACATCTTATTCTCTCCAGACCCCACGGGAGCTTTGCAGCTTTACTATCCCATTTCAAGCAGCCAGGAAGCTTCAAAGGAACATGGCTAGAAATGAACTCAGAGAGAACAAAGACAAGTCAAATGTACCTGTTTCCACTAGTAGAACACCCTCCACCTCCTCCCTACCCCAGCAATCTTCCATATTTTTGAGTTTAGGGTATGATTCCATATTATCTGATCTGACTTAGATTATGATAAAATTCAAAGACAAGACAATAACAAAATCATGTAATTAATCCCAAATACTTAGGGGAAAGGGGTATTTTGGTAACATTGTTGAGTTCAGTATTTTTTAAGGTCCTTTTCTTAATCTCCTCTTTCTTCTTTGAACTCTAAATTAAATGAAATCTCTCTCTTGCAAAGTTTGGAAAGTTAAATTTATGATCTATAACATTGAAAAATTATGATCTATAACATTGAAAAATCCACCCTTTTTTTCTTCTTCTTTGAATTTTAGAAAATTTAAAAAATAAAAATAAATAAATTTGTATGCCTAACACTGATCCTAGTCTTTTGGTTAAAAAATCTACCCTTTTAAGTTTAAATTATGTTGCAAATTTCTCAATATTAATTTCTCTTTTATGGACTTCAAACCCCAAACAATGGTGAGAAACAAATAAGAGGGTGGTTTGATGATCTTTTAGAGTCACCATCTCAATAGAGGAACCCTTTCCATGTTTGGTTTCACTTTCCTGTGAAAAAACATAATAAAACCTATCAGTTTTCGGTAGTCTGGAAAATATATATAATAATTCTCAAAACCTTTAAATTTGGAATTAGTAGAATTTCTGCAAATGAGTATATGCATACACATATGCATATATATGTATCTATATGCGTATATATGTTGTGTATGCATAGATGAATGAGGATTAGAGGAGCCTACCTGATCAGGCATGAGGAACACGACGTTTCCCAAGACGATGACCGTCCCTGACTCATCGAGCGTCTTCGCAAACTCCAATCCCTGATCTGTATTCATACAACACTCTACACAGATCTGAACGAACTCTGCATACGATATGTAGCTCTTCCGAATCTGTCTCAGCTTCGACTTCACCATTTCCAGCTGCGACACTCTCAGCAACTTCCTCGCATCCTCCGCCGTCAGCTTCCCTTCCGTCGTCGACGGAGAACTCGGCAGCACGTCCAATCGGATTCGATCTCTGGCAATATCCATCAATCGCAGCTTCTCCAACAGCTTCTCGCCCGTCGGGAGCGACCGGAGCTCCGGCGATGTCGCCGCCGACTTATACATCGGCCGCCGTTGAAGGAATCGACGGAAAACACCGTCGTCTCCGGGATCTAGAGCGATTTTGGACGGATTAGGAGGCGTTAGGGCTTGTATTGCGGGTGCTAATGAGGACATGCGAGAGTTGAAGAGTCGATAAATTAGGGTTCTCTTCAGCGCCATTGATGAAAAACTGAAGGTCTAGAGAGAGAAACAAACAAAGAATTTGTAGAGAGAAGGGATTGTATTTGTTATTGGGAAGCTTATACGTCTGAAATCTGAATTGGTTTTGATGGTTATTTGGATCTCTATTTATAGGTCCCATTGCAGAGGAAGAGGAAAAAACTAATTTTAAAACTTTTTTAAGTTTTGATCAATTTCTAGCTACTCTAATCACCGTACACGTGTTCGGATTATGTGAACCCTTTTTCGGTGAAGGGATGATGTGAACTTTATGAGGGTTGGTCTTCTATAGATGAGGATTGTTAGCCCAAATTGAATTATTGGACTACTTTAATCCAATTCGAATCCACTTTCTTGGATTTGAGTACAGTTTTTTTTTTTTTTTTTTTTTTTAAAATTATATATATATATATATATATATATATATAATTAATTAAAATAAAATACTCCATACATAATTTATAAAGCCATATTAAATTACAAAATTACGACATGACCCTTGGGATGAAATAATAACAAAATTATCACTTAATATCATGAAAAGAGACAATCCCTTCAAGGCATCTCGGGTCACATATTGTACTTGAGATTGTATCTGTATGTTTATAGAGTAGTATAAGAGGCATAATATCATTATTTTCAAAAAAATAAGTAGAAAGAAAAAGTATATATCATGATTTATTTAGTTGACAAAAATAATAATAATAATAATAATAATAATAATAATAAAGGAAAATATTTTTTAAAAAATTGATATTTAAGAATTGTGTCTTTTTTTAGTTTTGGTCCTTGACAAATAAACTCAACAACTTATTTTGTATACACTGTACTTTTAAAAAGTGAATATTATTCCCAAATTTTTTTTTTTTTTTTTTTTTTTTTTTCCCGGAAGGTATATTATTCCCAAGTTTTATCTGCTGAGAGCAGTTGGTGAGAGTTGTGAGTAAATGTTGGCATGTACCTAGCGAGAAAATTGGTGTATATAGATAAGAGCTCCACCTAAAAATACCTGCGCCAGTTCATTTGGAGATTGGCTCCATACACAAAGCTCAGACTTGTTGGGTCGGTTTGACCCATTCTACTTTTTGGGTTGGGTTCAATGTTTCTTTGGGGTCCCAATAAAAGTACCTCAGTTTTTTACTAGATCCAAGTAATTCATAAATTACTAAATCTTCTTTACCTTATCCTAAAATAAATTAATTAAGATTCTTTGATGGTTTAAAATATTAAAAAAAAAAAAAAAAAAAAAAATTAACAAGCAAGTCAAAGAATAAAATAAATAATGCAAATAAATTTTTTATTTTTTTCATAACAACAATTTTAGATTATAAATTAATGGATATGAAAGTTTGAAGTCGACCTTTTTAAAATAACAGGTCAAGAACAATTCTATCGTTAAGTTACAAAGGCCTTGACAAGTAGGAATAATTAGAAGACAGGAACTAAATTAATATAATTGTTCCTTATGTTTGTGCCGTTGACAACTAAACGTGATTACTGAAAACAGATTTGATGCTTTAACAAATATGACGGTGTTTTTGTCACATAATCATAGACAAGGAAATGGGCTATTATTATATATAACTCTGGTCTCCTAAACTATACCCAATTTGTGGATAAGCATATCATACAACAATTGATTAATAAATTCATCCTTTTTAAAAAAAAATAAATACTTTCATCAATAATATAAATAATTAAACACAATGTCAATTAAATGGTATGACTATGCTAATAAGAATCTTAGGATTTTCTTAGTTTACCAAATCACAGATGTTAATTAAATCATTATCTTTAATTTAATAAGTGAGTATGTAAACCACCAGATTTAGTAATTAAAAAAAAATGTATTCATTTATTATTGGCTCACATCACCAGAATGTTGTATATCCACACTAGTGATGACATAAATATTATCCAAATTTCAAACCTAAAAGGATCTTTTCAAAATATACGTTCCGTTGTTTTTTTGTTTTTTTTTTATTTTGGTGGTAAAGCAAACACACACACTTTTTTTGTCCAAGCCCGAGCTCAAACCCCTCCCCTCTTCTTTGAAAATTAGAAGATTATACCATTAGGCCAAAGACCCTTTGGTAGATACGTTCCGTATCCTTTTTATTTTAAAATTTTCCTTTTAGTTGTGTTTGGTAGCAATATATATACACATACACACTTTAGTGGCAAGAGATTTTAACAGAATTTTAAATTTGGACTTTTTGCAAATAGGGGTAAAAAATCTATAAAAGAATTTTATTCATGAAAAATGCTTTATACATACACACACTAGTGATAGTGATGATTGGCAAAAGGATCCTTGTTATAGACACACTTTATTCATACACACACCTTATTGTTTAATGTTTCTCCCATATGTTGCTATGTCACTTTGTAAATGACTATTACCTATTGTGGTCCCATTAATAGTGGAACTTGGGAGGGATGGTATTGCTTGCACAAAGGGCTGCTCTCATACTGAGAAATAAAAGTAGCCTCTGCCCTAAAACTCAAAAATCCAATTTTATTTTATTTTATTTATTTTTTTAGAGCTAATTTTTTTTATTTTTTTTTATATATTGATTATAGTTAGTAGTAATGTCCTTAGAGTCATCATCTTAGTTATATATTCACTTGATGCATTTGACTGTTGAGCAATGTGAAAATGCATTCAAGATTGTTCGATTTTTTTCATCAGTTATGGAAGTCGAGCATTTAAAGAACATTCATGCGCGATGATGAAGATACAATGCTGCATTTTGAACCTTTGATCACTAGAAATGGCGATTGAGCCACACCTTTGTAGGTGGTGGTTCATGTTTTCAGTATAAACCTACTAAGATAGCAATATATAACCCATATAGAACCCAGTCAATTGTACCATTTAATTTCAAACGAGCCCGAAAATTAAGGTTTTAGAGCTCACATTGTCTAGTTCAAATCTCCACTTTACCTTCCAAATTAATGGTTCCATGTGAAATTCAAGACATTTCACTTAGACGCCCTCAAATTCTTTTTTTTTTTTGATCGAGCTAATTTCATTGTTAGGTCGCACAAGAGTCCACGATCATAAGTCCCAATTCTTGATTTTTCAAATTTCTATCTTCCTATTATTAATGTATCAAATTGATGATGATTATGATGAAATTCAAGTCATTTTTATATAAAAATATCTTTAATTTTTTTTCAACTAGGTTAAATGTACGCAACCTTTACCTCAACATGAAAAGACTTCTTTTTAATTTTGAACTCCTGACCTCCAAATCACAATAGAGCAACTTTAACAATTATATCATCAAAGTATCAAATTGATTTTATCTCAAATACCTTAAACTTCCCTACAAGTAGGCTACTTTTACCATGCAATCTTAAAATAAACTCTTGAGATCATCTGATTGTGGTGAATCATCAAAAAAAAAAGCTTTTAAAGGGTCCAAATTTGATCAAAATTTAATTTTATCACTTAATAAAAATGCAAAAATATAGATTAATATCTGCAAAGAAACTTGTATTAGGCGCAACAAAAAAGAAAAAGGAAATAAATAATTAAGAAGGGTGCAAAAATGGTACACCTTGAGGTGTGTGACACAATGGATTATGAAATTTTATTTTATTTTATTTTTTTTTTTGACACAATGGATTTTTTTTACTTTATAATGTTCACATATATATTCATTTATTCGAAAATTTCGACCCAAATCTTTTTATGATGAACTGAATTGTTAAATTTCAAGAAAAGACAGAAGCTTTTGAAATTGTAAAATGTTTATTTTACTCTTATAATGTTTTCGGTGTACATACTCGAAAGTAGGGCATTTAATCTAATTGTAAGGGGGAGGGGTTTGAACCCCCCAATGTGAAAAGAAAGAAAAAGTGTTAGCGGGGTGAATCTGTGACTTTCTTGCTAAGTTAAAAATAAAAGATAATAATAATAATAATAATAATTAAAAAAAAAAAAGTTAAAGGAAATTTTCGAATTCCATTTTTAATCCTAAATTTTTGTCATTCTTGGCACGAATTACACACCCACTTGAGAAAAAACAGAAAAATAAATAGGTTAAAAGGATAATTTTTTAACTCCAAATTCTTTTTCTTTCTTGACACAAAACACATTTATACACCCACTTAATCTTAATTATTAAATTTCAAGAAAGAAGGGATAAAAATAAAAATAAAAATAATTAGAGTGAGAAAAAAAGACACGTGCGTGAGTGAAAAACATACGTGCGTGAGTGAGTGTATTTAAAAAAAGATAAATGATATTGCATAGAGGAAATTGAGATTATTTTCTTGCTTGACACAAACTTTAGAACCTGTTTAGGATTGTTTCTCTCCTATTAGAAAGCACTTTTACTTTGAAAAATTGCTGTGAGATGTGTTTGGTGACAAAAATAAATGTGGTTAGATAGTAGAAATTTCATAAAAAAAAGTGTGTTTACTTGAAGCTACAAATCGTAGCTTTTAAAATTGTGTTTTAAGTATACATAGATTTTTTATGATAAATATATTGTTTTAGACAATTTAATCCCTCTTTACTTTTTATAAATACAATTTTGTTCCTAGTGTTAAAAGAATATACAAATATTATGCAAACCAAATTGTGTTGTCGGATCTATTGTTGTTATCATACCTTTCCCTTTAAGAAACCTATATATTAGAAATCCAATATCTCCTTCCTTTTAAGGGAAAAATTTTGGATTTCACTCTTAGATTAACTTTATTTAAAACTAAACTCACATAAAACTACAATTAGTATATTCATGAAAAAAATCAAGCTATAATTAGTAAAATTAAATTTTGATCTTGAATCTTATACAATTTAAATACGAGTGTTGATGTGCTAAGTGAGAATTTATATTATATAGAACTAAAACAAAATATACATTTTTAGCAATTTTATCGCAGTTCTACCACTAAAAGTGCTTTTATGATTTTAACGGCAATCTCAAACAAACACTTAATTATCCATTCTTGAGAAATTTTTCACTACACCAACCAAACAATATGAATTGTTAACCCTTCCCTTCCCTTTCCCTTTCCCTTTCCCTTTCCGTTTCCTGTAGTAATTAGTTGTCCTTTCTTTTCTTTCCCATTTACCAAACATACTAGCTAAATAGGGCATTGCCTCAAACCCTTCTTTCGCGAGTTTCGTCTCTCAATCGCAAAGGAGAATAGCCAGGTACTCTTCTTCTTCTTCGTCTTCTGTGAAGTCTCATTTGTCTTCTTCTCTTTTCATCCTTCTTCGTTGAACTCTCGTCTTCTCTACATTCCTTTATTTTTTATTTTTGTAAATATATATATCTATATATATATATATATAGGAGTGTACGCGCTTGTGCTTGACTTCTTAATATAGGTTCTGCAGAGGAAATAATGATAGTAATTGTATTCATATACTTCTTGTCTGAAGAACCACAATCCTGATAATTAATTTAATTCTAATAATCTATTTTTTGGTAATTCCTGATGTGTTGAAATTGCGTTTCTCCATCAATTTCTTTGTTGCTGCAGATTTAATTTCTTTCTAGCTAAAACTGTGTGGTTGGGCTGGTTGAATTTATGATTTTATAGTCCCTTTAGAGTCTGTCAACTAGTTAATGGTCAGATTGCTTTAATGGACCAAGAGAAATTAAGCTTGATATATTTATATGGAAATGTATTCTGTACACACCATATATATATATGTATGGGTATATATGTGCTAGTGTAATCAATATATCTATTATTCGCTTTTCATTGAAGAGAGTGAATAACTCTTAACGGTTGCTAGTAATTTTGAATCAATCAACCAAGTTTACTATATTGTTTTCCACTGAGTTGGATTTTTCTGCGTGGAAAACAATCATACAGATGGCGCTGCCGGGCAGTTTTGGGAGCAGCAACTGGCGAAGCACTGAAAGTTGCTAAGAATTTTGCAGAGAGAGCGATCAACTTCGATGAGAAACTCCAAGGAGTCCAATCCCGAGTGAGTGCTGTTAGAGAAATTTTTTGGACGGGGAATCGAATCCTCAAAATCTGAAACTGTTTCAGACCTATCTGCAAGCTCTGCAGATTAGGGATGACAAGAAGATGTTAGCGAAATTGGATGAAATTGGCAAAGGATTCGAACCAGTTTTTGGTCTGAATACGAGGGTTCCCGTGCATTCAGAACTTCTGCGACCCCACAGTCGTATTCAGATCACAAACTGGTTCGAATGCTATACCAATTTCCTCCAATTTCGCAAAAATCTTATTGTTATCCCTAATCTGCAGAGCTTGCACATAGGTCTGAAACAGTTTCACCTGGGAATCCTTCATTTTTTTCACCTTCTTCGAATTGGAAGCCTTCTCAAACATATTCCAACCCGGGGCTTCAGAGCACTTGCGAATAAGCTCATCCGCCTCTTCCAATTGATCGATCAACATTTTGGTTTCCTTACTCGGAGGGTTCAATTCCCCATCCAAAACCTCAATCTCACGGTTCTCTAACAGCATTCACTCGAGATTGCACTCCTTATCCAGCAATTCAATTGTTTCAAGAGGTGTTCCCCCTTGAAGAAGCGTATCCAATTGGAAGAATGGCTTGTCACCTGCTTTCAGATCGATGTGCAATCTACGTTGACAAGAGCTAGCATGGTTACTGACCTGAAACTGAATGAAATAGATGAAATGATTGGAAGAATGTCCGAGTGTAACTCCGATAGTTCGGAATTTTCTAGTTGGATTAGATATGCCTCTTCAAGAATTGAAGATGAAGTTGCTAAACAATGATGAACAGGTGATCGTGCTTTCGGCTCCTGGAGGATGTGGGAAGACTAGGTTGGCAAAAAGGCTCTGTCATGATGTCAAAATTAAAGGTATTGATATAGAAATTATCTTTTCTTCTTCGCTTAATTTACAGATAGGGAAATGCATTGATGTGCCCTGTATATCAAGTTGAATCATGGTAATGCCTAAATTCAGCTAAAGGCCTTTTAAATTTTGTGTCATAACTGATGATCATTTCTTTTGGAAGTTTGGTAGTGTAATTCAGTGGTTGCATAGAGTTATGCAATGGAAAAATTCGGTTCCAGTTCTAAAAATTTAAAAACTGTTGATTACAGTTCTGTTCTCGGTTTGGAATCCAAAAATGAACAAACTAAATCGAACCACTAGTAATAAATATGTGTGTGTATATATGGATATATATATTTTTCCAAACCTTAGAAAACTATCAACCAAATGCATTTGTGGAATTATGTTCTATTTTTCAGTTCTACTCTCAAAGAAATGAAGTAAGTAGACCCATAGTTTCTGCTAGAACATTCCGAACTCCTAACCCATTTGAAAATGCCCTGCTTGGACAGGAAAATGCCCTGCTTGACCAAAATGATCCTTTCAATTTAGAAGTTTGAATGTTTAGCATTTAATTGAACAAGTAGTGCTTCCGTTTACTTATCTGCGATATATTCTGCATGTTCCATTTAGTTGAAGCTCAATTAGTGTTTTTATTTATATACTTGTCTGCAATTCTGGCGATATTTTGTTTTCTTTGCAAGAAAATGCGACTGATTTAATTTGCCTCATTAAATTGCAGATGTACTTGTCTGCAATTCTGCAATATTTTTGCTTTCTTTGCAAGAAACTGTGACTGATTTAAATTGCCTCGTCAAATTGCAGATGGTGAGTGGCTGCAGGGGAGTCCTGATGGCCCTTGCAGTACTTGGTGAATCACTGCAAGGACAACCTGAGGTGATACGGAGATATGCACTGAAGCAAGGATACCAAACTAGCGTAGATGCCTCGGGGTGAAATGGCATTTCTTGAAGATCAGAGGATCCCAGCCACCACTCTTTGATCACTAGCATTAGCGATTGAAATTTGAAATGGCATTTCTGTAAGCGGTTCATGTTTGCAGTATAAACCCAACTACCCAAGTATCAGATAGCAACAATAAGTCTATAACCAATATTCTCTAACCAAGTCCTTGTAGAAACAAGGTTATAGTCCCCCATGTTTGAATCTAGTTGTATCTAATGTAGGTATGTCAATTTAAGGTGCTTATGTTCTTGGTTACAAATTGAGATAGATCTTGTTGTCTATGATATAGATATGTCAATTTTTGTTTGTCTATGTTCTTGGTAGCAAATTGAGCCATATGGTGGAGTGTTTCAAGTCCGTTTTAAACTGTGTAGGGTGGGTACTTGGCCAAGCAGGCTATTTCATTGCTTTACAGACAATGTTGTGTCGAGAAAGTATACAATACTTTGGGGTACCGAGAATATAGTATCCTGGCGGAGCAGGTTAATTTGTTGCTTCCTAACATCAAGTGGGGTTGTCCTTCTCTCTTCCCAACTGAACTGATGTCTCAAGAATTCAAAATCCTAATTTCTCAGTACTCCAAAATTTTATCTACCCTTTCTCAAAATTATAGAATTGTGACTTTTGTTTTGAAAACCCTAATTTACAGAATCGTGGCCATTGCATAAGGTTGATGGTGATAGTTCGTCTGGGATAAGTGAAGTTTAGTTATTTATGCCTTTTTTTTTCTTCCATTGCAGACCATCATTATGTTTTGAATCACCTGTAAATGAATCCGATTCCAGACCAGGCTTGATCTAATCTGAATCTGATTAGACTATTTTGATTCGATCCAATGAATAATTAATAAATAAATTTATTTATGATTTGTTATTAATTGAATATCCGATTCATTAAGGATATTCTTTATATATATATATATATATATATAAAGAAAGTAATGTTAAAAGAGAAGCACAAACAATGATTAAAAAAAGAAGAAGAAACTTGGATCTTTATTCTTGTTAAAGAAAAAAACAATTAAGCTAGTAGATAATATATGTTTAAGATATTTTGTAATGTATTATGTCTGATTGAATTGTTATGTTTCGGAGCACTAATGCTTGAATTTGGAATTGAAAAAAATTTAGTTAAAATTTTGAACTAAATTTTCTACATTTCAAATTCAAAGCACCGGTTCCGCGTTCTCAAACGCCACACGACTATAATTTATATCTGATTTGTTTAGTTAACGAATAATTAAATTTGAATGGTTATCGAATTTCATATTAAATCTTTAATTTATATTCGAATTATCAAATCAAATTCGGATCAAAATCTAGAGACATGTACTCATAGCTCGGGCTCAAGTACTTGCACTCTAAATAATATAATGGGTTAATACATATAATTCGTTAATAGAGTGGTCGATTCCAATCTCTGCCCGCAAATGTACGTGTTGATAAAATTATCAAAGAAAATTAACATTGATAAAATCAAAGGTCACCTTTCAGGGTGACCAAATTTTATACATAACAATTGTCATTCCCTTGTGCAAAATATACCGAGTAATATAAAAGTTAGTGTGGCGACTTTGTAAACGGGTACAAGAGGGTACAAGAGGCACTGATAAGGTACTACACTGGGTGAGCTGCATGTGTATAATCCCACATTGCTTGGATGTGGAAAGGAAAAGTGTTACATACGTAGGTGTGTCACTACAATTAGTATGAGGCCTTTTGATGATAAAACCTAAGAACAAAATCATGCAAATTTAGATTCAAAACGGACAATATCATATCATGTGGGTCAATTGTTACAAATAGTATAACTGTATAAGAGACTGACCCAACCAAAAATGTGCCCACCCAAGGGGGTTGTGATTGTGGCCACCTTGTTGGGGATGTGCCGTGGGCGGGTGCAAAAAGCATTGACAGACTGATACATAACAAAACCAATTTGAGTTCAAAACGGACAATATCATACCATGTGGTGGAATGAGTCGTTACAGTTAGCCTTAGGACCATGAAAACATGATTTGTAAAGCAAAAATAAGAATAATATTTTGCAAAATATAGAAAACATGTCATATGAACACTTCCTTCGAAAAATTTGAATTCTGTAACTTCATTTATAAGTGATCACCGTGGACTTACTTTTATAATTAAAAAAAAAAAAAAAAATGAGATAGTAAAACTAGTCCTAAAGTTTTGACATCCTTTTGAATGGGCTTCTCATATACTGCTCCTAAAATCAAAGTTGTCATAGAAAACATGATAATATTTGCCATTATAGAACAAATCATGATATTTTTAGGGGTATCAAAGCCTGAAAAGAACCTATAACAGGAAGTAATGGATTGAAGAAAAGAAGGAAAACCCAGCCTTTCACAAGCTTCCTGCAAATGAAGCCTTTTTTCTCTTTTGAATCTGGAATCATATTTGTCATGCCAAATCAAATTTCAAAAGAAAGTATCTATTTAAAGAAATAACATGAACCCTTGATCACAATATTCTGAAAAATATAATTTTCGGAAAATAAATACTCTGAAAAGTATCCTGGCATCAGCAAGCTATAGGCTTCTTGTTCTGTATGTATCACGCACGTATAAAATTGTACTTTTTAAATATTAAGTAGTGTTATAGCAAGTGAAATCAGCCAATGATTATTCAGCTCATCACCTCTACATTGTGCTTCTTGGAGGGAAACCGTCATCTATGGCCTTGTTCAGGAAAATGATCTCATACATTCTCCAGTCCCAAATAGTTCTTTCTGAGGAACATTTGTGATTAACAAAGGAATTGTGTTCTCTTACAAGGAGGGTTCTGCTTCGTCTGCAGCAGATGATCCTCTTACAACCTCTGTCAGTTGGCTAGTCTGACTATTCATTGCAGTCCGTTCGCCCACTTATGTACATCGCTACATATCATTTCAATGTAGCATTTTTAATGTAAGAATTATCAAGGAAAAATAGGAGATCCTAACAATTATCTTGGCATGCAACTACGGTTCTGTTGAAGGACAAAGTTCAACATTTTTATCAACATTTTGATACGTCTTTAATTTTCCCAAATATTTCATTTCAGATTGATAGATTTTTTCATTGAAAGGTTGTGTAAAAAGTTAGCGAGACTATTCAAATTTAAGAAGACATAAAAGTGGGTCATATATTTGAATGAAACCCATCATCTGCTCAATATAGATTCTTTCTCCAATTGCATCTATATCAAATGAACATCCCTTTCAAAATAAATGGCCTTATTAGCTTTCTATATGCCATTTTAATGGAGTGTTTTAATGCAAGAATCTACATCTTTCAATGTAAAATTTTGATGTAAGAATCTATATCCACTAGGCCATTGAAGAAAATAGTAGATTTGAACAAATTTATTGTCATTTGACTTCTCTTAGGAAAAGTTCATATTTTTAACATCATTTTGTTAAGGCTGTCATTTTCACAAAATGAATCCAAATTCGTCTAAAAAGTGAATCGGGTAGTTGAAAACTAAGGGGACATCCAAACCGATCCTCTTTGAATGAAATGCGGAAAAAAACTCATGTATCCCATTTACGTTGGTCCCTTTCCAGTTATTCTTCTCTCAAAATGCAAAGTAAAGAAGAAATATGCACAACTTCTTGATGTTGAAACTACCATGTTGTATGCCGTGACTTAGTCTCAGCCTACACCCATGGTGCCTTGAGGCACCAAATCAGACTCCCACCACATGGTCGTTAAGTAGGAATAGCAGACTGGGTTGGCACTGAAACCAACTATAACAAGCTGGGCGCTTGTCATCCGACCCAAAAGCTTAAGCTTTGTTGCTGCGGTGCTGCCTACCCACCCTTAAAAGACCAAGACCCTCCCCATCTATATCCAATGTGGAACAAAATTAGGAGTGCAACTTGGGCAGGTTGGAGGTTGGAGGCTCAACACAGGATCAACCCGAGGTATGAAATCTTTAACCCTAACCTAACTAAACCATCCATCAACCCGCAAATGAAATAACCATATTAGGGTTACTGGATTAGTAACTTGACCCACAAATGAAGTAACCATATTAGAATTACTGGATTAGTAACTTGACTGATATTTTCAAAAGATATGATATCTCATCTGCTACATATTTTTGTCCCCACCAAGGCTTGAACACTCGACTAGGGTATTACCCTTTCCAGTAATTAAAAGCTCAATATTCTATCCAGCTCCTTTATATAAAACATTTAAAGTTAAGTAGTTTTGTAAATCTTTTATGCCCGAGATAAAAAGGGTCTCTTTATGCTAGGGAAAAAAAAACTACTCCTCTCAATCGTATCCATTATGAGCATATAGCTCCAGAGATTGCATGTACAACTATCTGGTTCGGTTGACTAAGCTCTCCTAAGAAGATAATCATATTGTTTATTCTATATACCCTGTCAACATTAATGACTGTTTTTGACACAAACTTTAATTCTTAAACTGTTGGTCTGCTTACGAATCGTACTATGTTTTTCCCAAGCTGATCAGGCTTCCAACTCTTATATGTTTGTTCTATGAAACATATACTTTTTCCCTCCAGAAAATGCACACAAGAGCATTATAGTTAGGTGTGGCGGTGTTGCCCGAGTGGTAAAGGGCCAGGCCTTGAGTGCCCCCACCCCTTATAGTTAAGTTCATGGTTATCAACCAACTACCTAAGTTAACAGCTTCCAAATTTAGTAAAACTAGTAATAGTTTAATTAAATGAAGCATGTGAAATCTATAAAAGCTATCAAGTAATAACCTTTTCTGATAAAGGAGAAATTTTAGGATCTGCATAGCCTAGCTCACAATAAAACTCATCCTATAAATTACTATTGATAAAGGGTCAAAATTAATTTAAATGAACCCAAGTCACATACATTGCTTAAATCATGAGTAATACATACCATTATACCAATGTGTAATCTCAGGTGCTGGGATGCTTGATAATCCTCTGCAAGATCAACGTTCTCGCCCTCCTTATATCGCGGCCACACTTATCAGTATGTTCACTCAAATCCTGAATGGTTTGCATAAACCCACTCAGCTTCTTCTTGATCTCATCTATAGCTAGCATCACAGCCTCATCTTCTCTCAGAGCAAAATCAGCATTCTGCAACAATGACTCGAACTCAATTTCCAATCTATCCACAAGTAGTCTAATGCTGTCCAAGTCCTTAATTGCAACGTAAGTCCCAATATGCAATGAACCCATTACATCCCTCTCTCCTTTCAGCTCATTCTCATACTTCTTCCAAAGGGAATTAATCCATTTACCCATTGACCCCAACGGCACTGCAGCCGCAGCCGCCAACGCAGTCACAACCGGTGGTGCAGCAATCGCCGCCGCCACAACAGAACATATCAAAACAGAAGCGAAAGTGGCCATAAAAATGACATTCGATACAGTTCTCCAAGCCTTCACAGACTTCAACTTCTTATCAAGCTTACTCTTACTAGCTTGCAATTTCACAAACATTGACACTTGCTTTGCATAAACAGATTGAAACAACGAGAAAAACTCATCATTGAATGGGTCACCTGCAGTCTTGAAATTCTTCAATTCCTTCAGCGTCCTCGAATGGGTTTTCGTGGTTTTCGTCGCCTCCCCATCGGACCCTTGTCTCTGTTCTTCCTCGAATTGCTGTAATGCGACTTGAATCATCAATTGGCTGTCGCGGGCACGCTTGAGGCACCTCTCGAGAGCAGTACAGAAATCAAGAGTCAAAAGACTGTTCTCGAAGTAGTCTTCCACAAGATCGAACAGGTCTTTGTTCTTCCAAATGTCCCTTTTGCATTCGAGGATGAGTCTGACCACTTCTTGATTGGTTTCGAGGAAGCACTCCGTCAGCTCTCTGAGCGAGTCCATGGAGAGTGACCGAACCTCGACGCCGACCGCGAGCGTGTTGATGACTCGGCTGGTGCGTTGCTGGAGGCTCGAATCGAAGGTCCGGAGATCTGGGTCCTGCCAGCACGCGGCCTCGTAGGAGCTCAGATCGGGGGTGACCTGTGAATTGGGGTTCATTTGTGTTGGAGTGTGAGCACTGCTTTGGCTTGTTTTGCTACACTGGAGTCCCATTAAGGACCAGAATTAGATTCAGCGAGAGAGAAAATGGGAAACCCTAAATCGAGAATTGAAAGCTTGGGCATGGGTTGGATGGGAAGATAGATGTTGGGTATGAATCAGATCACCATGAGGAGTTCAAATTTTCAGCTGCAACGACAGAGGTTGGACTGAGCGTCAACCCCCAATCTGAGAAGGTGAAAAGACGATGGAAATTGCATAGGAAAGGAGAGGAGAGTGGGAGGCTAGATAGTGTTTGTTTCTAAAGAAAATCAAAGAGGAAAATGTGGTTGCCAATGTCGGAAAAAGACAGTAAATCTATAAATCGTGGAAGGGTCAAAAGGCAGAATGATAATATCAAGGAACAGTGAGTGAGAAGAAGGCAGTGTCGGCGAAGCTGCTTTAAGTACAATGACTAAACTACCCCTATTCCTAATACCCGTAGTTGATTTGTCAAAGTACCAACGACGTGTTTCTTACGGTAAAAATTTTAACAAGATTAAAAGCACCTTAAAAAAATTAAAAGCACGTTTCTTTTTATTACTCAGTGAAAAAGAAAACTTAACCCTCAAGTTTGGTTAATTTTCTGTTCATTGACTGTAAGTCATGGCAAAAGTAAACTAATTTAAAAAATTAAATACCAAAACCATCCTTTCATTAGTTATACAGTATATTGCTTCAAATTCTTGGGTTCACGTTCTTTCATAAGAAGTTGTTTCTCTCTCTACCCGATTTCTACTCTCTCTCCCTACATCTCTCTCGATTTACTCTCTCATTTTCAGATTCGAAAAAAAAAACACATCAACCTGACTGAAACTTACACAAATGTATACATCACTTTGAGAAATCTCAATCCATCAAAATGGTTCTTTAATTTCCATAACCTAGTTAAAAAAAAAAAAAAAACTTACAATTGAATCCATTTCAAAAAGAAATTCTAAATTGAATTTATTGTTAAATCTAAGGGAAGAACAAAAGTGATACATTTGGGGGAAACAAGGCGTAGATATCGGAAAGCGTTCTCTCATCGTTCTTTTAAACTTCTTGCTGTCTGCACCTGACAATCGCTATTGTGCCTTCGCATCCAGTACTTGCTTCTATGTTTATATATATATACACACACCATAACTAAAATAACAAATTCAGTGAAATCCGCATGTGTTAAACCCATCACAATCTCTGTTACATCCATTTTATTAATTTTTAATTGTTTCGTATGGGTTAGGAAAGGATAGGACAAGAAACTCGAAATGGATCAAAATTTCAGTTTTAAATGGAAATATTAAGGGCACCCGAATGAGAATGAGATCATAAATTCCAGATTTAGAGAGAGAGGATGACCAACCAAGGTGACCAAATTTTCAATTCACATCAGTATTTAAAGAAATCATGCATGAACTTTCTAGCACATAATCATGCATACTAAGAAGAAAAGTATTCTCCTTCTCTTCTAATTTTTCAGCTTTATATATCTGTAACTTTTAATTTGACTAGCACTCAGTAAAGTATAAAATTTTATGCTCGGTTAATCCATCCTAACTCTAACTAGTCAATCTTTTATCTGGGTTTGTCTTTAAAGCATCAATCAACACAGTCGTAGAGACAGAGACTGCAAAATTGTCGACCCTCTTCGTCTCCAATGGAAAGTCTGGAGAGACGAGAGAGAGTCGCTGACGGACGAGGTGGTGGTGCCGTCGGTGGGAGGAGACGGTGGTGTCAATGGTGGGAAGGAAGTTTAGGGCTTAAAGTAATATTGTCATTTCACATTTTACCTAGTCAGGTAAGAAATGACGCAAACGTGATAGGTGAATAAAGAGATGGGTATAATAGTCAAATCAATTTTTTGATAAAAAAAAAAAAGTAAACGACCATAAACTTTGATAGGGGTGTGAGAACTGAGATGGTAGTGTCCACGAAGCTGCTTTAAGTACAGTGACTAAGCTACGATATGTCAAGTGTCAACTACGTGTTTCTTACCGTATAATTTTTAAAAACAAGTCAAAATAAAATAAAATAAAAATTAGGTAAACTATAATGCCCTTTGGCCTGCAACTAAATTTAAGATTTTTAATTTTTTGGGATAAAATGCAAAAAATACCTTTAAGTGCATCTAAATTTGTAAATAACTTCTTTAAATTATGGTTTGTATATAAAAATATTCTAAACTATCATATTTAGTTACAAAATACCTTGCTGTCTTACCTATTTTTTATTAGGGTTAATTACACTCACATCCGAGGTTTAATATATGACAGCTAGATGAAAGTTAGCCATTTTTTTGGACATTGACACTCCTTATAAGTTTTTTCCTTTAAAAAACATATGAAATGTCTATATAACCCTTCATTATTTAATTCATTAAAATATAAGAAGTGCAAAATGACCAAAATGCCTATTATAATTATTTTTTATTATTTAATTCATTTTACTACTCTCTCTTTCTAACCTATCACCTAATGGAGGCGCTGTCCTCTGGACACCCACTGGTTGGTTGCATCCCACGGCGAGATTTAGGGGATCTAACCGCAGACGCCGAGTCATTTGAGCCAACGTAAAAAACAGGTCGAATTTGGAGATCTGATCGAGCACCAGAGTGATGACTGAGTTGCCAGAGCAAGCCGTGTTGAAGTGTAGAGTCGACGAGGATGTGGAATCGTGGACCATAAGGCTGTACAAGAATGACGACTCTTTGATTTGAGAAGAAATGAGAACGAGCAGCCGCCGATTTTGAAGACTGAGGATACAAATCCGAGTTGCTTACCAACGATTACAATATTATGTGCCACTGCAAATCGTTGATTTAATGAGGTTTATTATTATTTAAAAAAAAAATTATTGAGTTGGATTTGGCTGGTTTATGGGGATTTGAAGCTTTCTCATCGGAGATTCTCTTTGTAAGCTCAGATCTCATCCTCTCTTTCTTATGATCAGTGTGTTGATTTATTTATGTATATATATTGTATTGAGTTTAACTATACTCTCTCTCCTCTTATATATATATATATATATATATATGATCAGTGTGTGTTGAATTATTTATGTATATATTGTATTGGGTTTCAGTTAAATTCTTCTCATTTTCTCTCTAACTCAAACTTTTTGATGTTTAATTTGCTGCTTGGACGGCCCAACAAGAGGTACTGTAAGTTTATAGGGCAGTTTGATGGTGATCTTGGTTAATTTGATTGATTACCTTTGGAAGGTTTCAGTTTCAAGAGATTTTGATTTTGATTAAGGGTTGATCTTTAATAAGTTGATAGTCTGAGTTGTGTGTTTTTTTTGGGTTTAAACCTTCAAAGTTTCTCTAAAATCAATTTCGATGGATGGTGATGGAGATTGCCAGTGCTTTGTATATGTGTGTGTGTGTATATATATATAACCCTCAGCTTGTCTCCCCTTTCACTCTACACAACTGTCCACCCGCTCTCTATCTTCACCTCTACCACCATGGACGACACCACCACCATCATAGTCCTTCACCACAAAAACACACATATATGTGTGTGTGTTGTGTGTATATATATGTGTGTGTGTGTTTTTGTGGTGAAGGACTATGATGGTGGTGGTGTCGTCCATGGTGGTAGAGGTGGAGATAGAGAGCGGGTGGACAGTTGTGTAGAGTGAAAGGGGAGACAAGCTGAGGGTTAGTTTGGTCCAATAAAATGACATATAAAAGTGAAAGGGTAATACTGTCAATTCACCATGTGACAAGTGACTATAGGGGTGCTTTGTTAATTTTATCAAACTTGAGGGGGCCTCATTGTTTAAAAAGAGGCAAACTTTCATTTGACTGTCAATAGGGCAAACCCCAAGGGGTGTGAGTGTAATTAACCTTTTTTATTAAATGGCCATAATACCCTTTCTTATTGAGTTGTACTTATATATTTTTCTTGTTAAAATAAATTATGAAAAAAATTCATACTAATTTGATGAATAATATCTATTAAATTTGCATAAGTTTGCTTTTAATTTTTTAAATTAATTGTTTAAATAAGAATCTTAAATAGAAAATTTTGAAACAATTTAAGTAATTTCTTAATTTTCATTAATATATTGCATTAAAAAGAAGATATTTTTTATTTATGTAGTTTATTAGTTTTTTTATGGATATTGTTTGAAAAAGAAGATATTTTTTTATATTAATTTTTCTTTAAAAGTGAATATAATAAGTTTTATTATAATAAGTTAATCATTTTAGAAAATGATAGTTACAAATTTATTTTTTTTTTTCACTTTTTGAAATCAATTGATACTAATTGTAAAACTAAAGTAAATGATATAATTAATATTTAAATAAGAGAAAATATAATAAAAAATAATTTAATAAAAAATGACGAATTTAATAACAAAGGGTAAAATAGTCTTTTGTGATAGATTTATTTTTAATTATAACAAATTAATAGTTTAAGGGGGTAATATTTAGTTCAGGAGGGTTAATTACAATAAGTCAATAATTCAGGTTGTTATTTTTTATTATTATTTTTTTCTTTTTATAATGTGTAACCTTATTAAGGTTTACCTGGTTTTGCGAAGAGTTTCGTACAAAAAATATCAGAAAATTTACCATTCAAAAAAAAAATAAAAAAAATCAGAAAATTAGTTTGAAAATATCAAAATACCATAAACTAAGTGAAAAGACGCTACTGCCCATACAATATTATCACATGACAAAAATATATATATTTCAATGGACAAAATTACCCTGTTCTCTTCCTCACTTGCTGTATATGTGTGTGTGTGTGTGTATATATATATAATGAATTCATATATACATTGGATTAACTGTCGTGACCTAGTCTTAAAATTGGATTGGACCAAAAAAAAAAAAATTGCAGAATACAAAATAGGTTAATTGTCACCTAATTATTAGCTAAGTGGAGTCATTTATATTTTCACTCCATAAATTTTAAAATTTGTAATTAAGGTTACTGAGAGTTTGATGTTTAGTGATTCATTACCATTATGGTTAGCAGATTCAAATTTCACACACGGCCGCCGTCCATCCTATTGAGAACATGTTTGAGTTTGATTTTGATACAATTTATTGGACACATTAATATATAATATTGATGCAAAGTCTAATTTTTAAACAAGTATTTTTTTTCTTAAAAAAATGTGAATATTTGGGATCGGAAGTTAACATGTGATAATTGCTTATTGGATGCATTAACTTCAGTTTTTTGAGAAATTATCTCTAGATTAATTCAGTTCAACATAGACGAGAATTACAACCCATAGATGGTGTTCACCATGGAGATTATGTGTGATTGCTTAAATTAATTAGATTAGTTTTAATTATTAAATTGATAGTAGTGCATTAGGATTGAGAATAA